AAATTGAAACACTAGGAATATTCAACAAAATTAATAAACCAATAAAAAGTCAAGAAAATATTTGAAATCTACTAGTTCAAACAAAAATTTAAAGATTTCTGGCTTTTGGAAGCCTCTCAACAATAAATATTATGCAACTGACAAATACTATATCAATTAAATATTCTAATTTAATTGAATATAATCTCAATCCATATTTATTCATACAATGACAATCTACCCAACCAATTACATATCATAATAAAAATTAGATAAATGAAATTTCCTTATCATTGTGAAGATTGGGTTGTACATTTTATTCAACTTCTACTTCAATTAAGGACATATAACCTACTTTTAAATTAAAGTAAATTTAATTGCTAGTGTTAGTAACTGGTTAGCTTACAAACAAAATATCAAATAGCCTTGGAATGTTTTTGCATTTAGACATTTTCAATAGTTAATTAAAAATACAATTCAATAGGTAAACTGTGCTTGTTGCCGAGCATGTAGAATACTGAATTACTAATTAGGCTGACCTCAGTTATTGTCAGTATACTTAACTACATATTTATTATTCATAATTACTGATCTGAATTTCAGCATACATATAACTTAATAATTCTTATTTATCAATACAATAACGAAGTTCATGAATTAATGATCAATAACAAATCTTGATCAACTTCAGAAAGGGCCTCAAATAGCCCTAGTATGGCCAAAAGTGGAGAGAGTTAGCTCTCCCTCTCCAAATGCTCTCACACGACCATGTGCATACAACCACTGCCAGGAAAGTCTTACTCACTGTCTTCTCGCACCATAGGTGTTGTTCATGAAATTGAGAGGACGGAGAGAGAAGGTCCGGCACTTTAACCGGTTAAGTGGATAGGGAAGGTTTACATAGAGGAGTCGAAAAACCCTTATAGTGAACCCTCATAGTGAAGTACCCAAAAATGGTTCTCACCATCCTGATGGGAGACCTAAACGCCAAAGTCGGAATGGACAACAGAGGATATGAAGATATCACGGGACGACATGCACTGGGAGAGAGGAACGAAATGGGGAGAGATTTGCAAACCTATTTGAACTTAACAACTTGGTTATAGGTGGGACAATATTCTCACACAAACGCATAAACAAAGCTATGTGGATCTCACCGGACCACAGTACGGAGAACCAGATTGATCATATTTGCATCAATAAAAAATTCCGAAGGACGATGGGAAATGTGAGAACCAGGAGAGGAGCTGACATGGCTTCGGATCACCACCTAGTTGTGGCCAAGATGAAGGTGAAGCTAAAGAAATACTGAACAGCTGGGGAAACAGCAGTACAAAGGTTCAATACAGCCTTCTCGTGAGACAATGTGGTGCGTGCTATTTATACAGACATAAGTAGCATATGATGTTAGTCCTGAACAGAATGTCTGGCAGCAGAGAGCCAAGAGGATCGAACAGTAAAGAATGGAAACAGAATGCAATTTTTATGAAAATGCTGCTGCTGGGCGGACATCGGACGCAGATGGCTCAGTAGGCCGATGGAGCACGGATGTTAAACGTTCCAGGTTTCGGGTGGATGTCGGATGTTACTGCCCCGGCAGGCCGACGGGTTCCAAGCCTTACAAGATCTACTGGAGGAATAAGAAATTACTGTGGAGGACAACTGCGAAGACATCACAGAAGCATTAACTTCAACTTGTCAAGAGGTTCTGGGCCGCAAGAAGCATCATAACAAATGGATCTCTATCGAAACCCTGGACAAGATTCAAGAAAGGAAGAACAAGAAGACAGTAACTAACAACAGTCGAACAAGAACAGGAAAAGTCGAGGCACTAGTCGGACACACAAGAACAAACAATCAAGTAAAGAGAAGCATTAGAGCTGATGAGCAGAGATTCGTGGATGACCTGGCAAAGACAGCAGGAAAAACTGTGAGAGAAGGGAATATCAGACAACTTTGTGATTTAACGAAGAAACTGGTGGGGAAATATAGTAAACCAGAGAGACCGGTCATGGACAAAGATGCAAGACAATCACTGAGACTCAAGAACAGACGAATATATGGGCAGAACACTTTGAGGAACTATCGAAAAGCTTAGCTCCATTTAATCCAACGGACATCGAAGCAGCACACAAAGACCTTCTTATAGATGTCACTCCGTCAGGATGGCCATCAGACATATCAACAGTGGGAAAGCAGCAGCACCTGATAATACACCAGCTGAGGCTCTGAAGTCAGACATTGAAGTAACTGCAAGTATTCTTCACATTCTATTCAGGAAGGTTTGAAAGGAAAAACAAGTGCTGACAGACTGAAAATAAGGACACTTCATCTAGATACCAAACAAAGAAGATATGAGCAAATGTGGGAACTATAGAGGCATCTCACCACTGTCAGTACCAGGAAAGGTTTTCAACAGAATGTTCTTCGACCGGATGAAAGACTCAGTAGACTAGCAACTTTAAGATCAACTAGCTGGATTTCGTAAAGATCGGTCGTGCGCAGACCAAATTGCGACATTATGGATCATCGTCGAACAATCATTTGTGTAGAACACGTCACCATACATTAACTTCATTGTCTATGAGAAGGCATTTGACAGTGTAGATAGGAGAACATTGTGGAAACTTCTTCGACACCATAGAGTTCCTGAAGAGATCGTCAAAATTATCCGGAACTCATAGGACGAACTAAATTGCAAAGTCGTGCATGCAGGACAGCTGCATTCCAAGTAAGAACCGGAGTCAGTTAAGGCTGCTTACACTCTCCCTTTTTCTCTCTTCTGATGGTTGACTGGATTATGAAAACCTCCACATCTCAAGGAAAGCACGGAGTACAATGGACAGCTCGGAATCAATTGGACGAGTTGGACTTCACAGATGACCTGGCCCTTCTATCCCATACACACCAACAAGTGCGGGTCAAAAGAACCACCGTAGCAGCAGCAGCCTCTCCACCAATAGGCCTCAACATACACAAAGGAAAACGCAAGATTTCCAAATACAACACGGAAAATATCAACCTAATCGCACTTAATGGAGAAGCTCTAGAAGATGTGGAATCTTTCACGTGCCTGGTCAGCATCATCGGTGAACATGGAGGACCGAATGCAGACGCAAATGCAAGGACTGGCAAAGCAACAACAGCATTCTTACAATTGAAGAACACATGGCACTCAAAACAACTGTCAACCAATACCAAAGTCAGAATCTTCAATAGGAACATATGGACGTGGAGAACTACTGCAAGCATCATCAATAAAGTAGAAGTATTTATATAGAGTTGTCTACTCATAATACTCAACATCCATTGGCCGGATACCATCAGTTACAGCCTACTGTGTGAGAAGACAAACCAGTTTCCGTCTGAGGAGGAAATCAGGAAATGACGATGGGAGTGGATAGGACATGCATTACGGCATCACAAAGCAAGCCCTAACTTGGATTCCCGAAGGAAAACAAAAAAGAAGGCCAAATAACACACCACGTCGGAAATTGGAAGCAGACATGAGTAGGATGAATTCCAACTGGAAGGAGCTGGGAAGGATTGCCCGTGACAAGGTTGGATTGAAAGTGCTGGTGGGTAGCCTATGCTCCTCCAGGTATAATTAAGTAAAAGCGATCAGTTATAAATTTCTCCTGTCAGTTTTAACTAAAAATAGTAAGTTCAAAAGTACATCTAGTGTGAGCAAAGCTCAAATTATATTTCTTGAGTTAATATCTTCAAATACTAGAAAGAATACTAAACTTATTCGTTAACCCTAGTTCAAATGGTAAAGGACAGATAGTTAGAGCCTGTCTCGCAATGCTAACCGGTGTGGAGATGGTTGGAAGAATGTAAGGGGCGGCCAAACCAAAACGTGGCATCAGTGTTTGAAGTCACTAACTTCTCGTCTGAGCCATGTTGGTAGATACAGACTATCGTAACCAATGGTTGGAGACTCTAGGTGACATGGCTCAGAATTCATCACAGTGGTGTAGGTGTTTCACTCTCTGTCTTCCCTTAAACTATGAGATTAAAATCGTTTCATATCTTTCTTTCTACCAACTAATTCTTTCTTCTTGTACGTATTATGTCCTTATATTCAATCTTTCTTTTATATATTACCACTATTGAATTAACTACTTCTATGAACTTGGTGTTCATCTTGTTGTGCTAATGCAGTATGGCAACTTGGACCGATGCATATATGTGCCTGGTCCTACGTTGTAACTGACTGACTGACTGACTGACAAGAACCCATTTAACAACAAGTACATTGTTAGTCCTAATAGTAAAAGGTGTAGTATCGTGAAAGATTGTATTTAAAATAACTTAACTTCATACAAAATATATTTAATACCAGGTAATTATATAGTTCTTGATTTTTTATGAAATTAGTCGTATATTGCAGTTAAATAACATTTAATATCATGCGTAACTGGATAACTATAACGATAAAAATCCTCCTAATAATTTAGGTTATTCAAGAGTTCATACAAAATACTATAATGTACGGTATATACTGTAGTGAACAAGAACACGTGTGGGGGCAATCGAATGTATTCGAACACGAAATTATGGAGCATCTCACTAAAATCTGAGTCATACAGTAAATAGTTAATTTGCAACATATTAATCAATTGTCTCGAACTTGACTGTTCCTTTTGCAATTATCAATCCATCGACTCAGATTTCATTGTTCATGCATTTTCATACCAATTGCATCCGTCTCTGTTCTCTCCTTCTTGATCTTCTATTGAAATACATTCAATTCCTGACTATCGTTACATACTACTTATGTGGATATAAGTAGCTCACACCACATTTACTACCCAATTAGATCTTGTTTAGATCACATGATTATAAAATTGTCTCATACATGAATTATTTTAATTACCTAATAAAAATGAAACTAGTACAACACAGTAAACAATTTCATTGAAGAAAGTCAATGCCTTAGGCATTTTTTTTGTAATTTGGTAAAAAAAACTGTTATTGTTTCACAACCTATTTAGTACATACATTTCAAGGATACTTACCTTTTGGATACATGTTATCTACCAGATACTTTACTGGTGCATGTGTTAATGACAGTTTAAATAATTTCATTTAGCTATTTCATCTTCAAATTGTTCTAAGTATTTTGGTTGTGATACAGTAATAATTCAATATGGATAATGATGAGTATGATTTCTAACTCTCTAGAAATTTAATAGTTCATCATGTGTATGTAAGTTATCATGATTTTATCTTTCATCCCATCCGTTGATGTTTCCTTGACATGATGATCGAGCTGGTCTGTTATGATGAATCAAACGAGTTGTACTGGCTGGAACAATCGTTCCTCAAGGTCCTACAACGCGAGATAGGTCGGTTGAAGAACGGAAAGAATAAACGCAGCAAACCCAATATCCGAAGGTGAAATCATAATGCTGACTGTACAGAGGTGTGACGACAGTAAGATGTTTCCTTCAGACAACCAGAATAACAGCGATTCTGCTTTCCCACAATTAGGGGTAGGGTTAGAAGACGTCGACCATAAAAATGCACACCTCGCCTTATCCCACTGATATCCGTCTCCGGCGGTAAGGTCTCAAAAGCTACGGAGCAAACACGAAAATTTATCACATAAAGGTCGTGTGTGACTGACCTCAAACAGTTGTCTCTTGGGGATTTCGGTCACGCTCTCAGGTCACTAAGACCACCTTTAATCCAATTTCCTTTTTAGGTACCGCCAGAAGGATCCTTCCACGTTGTGGGCAACCGGGAAGTGATAACCGCCCTTATACCTCTAACAGCACTCAAGATTTTATCTTTCGTGAGTCTGACATCAATATTCCTATCAAAGATATATATTTCACTCATTTAAAAATTAAATACTTTTGTGAATTTCTTTTACACTGGCATAGCAACATATTCTACATTGTATCTATTTACTGAATACATTTTGAAAACATGGTATTAAATAACAATTTGGTTACTATATCAGAGGATATTAAAATTTCTTTTAACTTGTAGTCTTGCTTAGTATTCTAATTGTCAGTAAGTCAGTTATGACCGATGTAAGACCTGGCACAATTGTACATTAGCTTAATTTATCATACCACATTAGCATGTTATGATGTACTTAACAAGATACATATCAAAAGAGTCGAAATAATGGTTAAGTATTTTATTCATAATAGTACATTTTTCGCTATATATTACAGTGCAAATAATGTTTATAAAATGATTCTTATACTAAATTTCACTCTTCCTCTTAATATACAGCCACTTGATGCCTACCCTAATTTAGCTTATCTATCCATTTAAGTTTGTTACACTAAGTTAATATATAAATCTGAACTCAGTGGTGTCGATTGTTAATCCAGATATCATGTGTTAAGATTCTAAATCATCCATTGGTATAAAAAGATCCATGTATGAGATGTTTATCATCATTCCATAAATATGGTTCACAGCCCACTGAATACATTCGGATATAGTGACCAAGTTCTACCTAACTAAAAACTTTAACTATAAAAAGCTAAAGCTTTAAGTTTAACTTTTATTTGTCCAGTGACTTAATTGAATTATTTTTTGAAGTTAACAAGTCCAGAAAAGGATATGCAGAATAATGAAATTTTATAATGAAATACAATTTTATCATGAATTCTATTTAAAACCATCTGATATATGAATACTTAGTGTTTTACTGTTGAATAGCTAGTAATGGTTACTAGCAAGTGAATCCTTAATCAAATTTTATCCTTGATGTTACTTTTTAGAGTGTCTGCCACATAGATATAAGGGGTAAACATGAAAATTACTACTAACTGTTGCTAAGAGTAACAGTAAAAAGGAATATCAACTAAATAACTTGTCAGAACTGTCTGCTAATCTATGTCTGGCTGACTGATTCCAATTTACGGTTTTAACAGACACTATGTGAAACCATGAACTAATGTGTCTAGGGATTGATGATTTAGTTAGATATATTACGCAAAAACTCAGTAACTCAATAACAGGTATTTTTCTTACTTCAAAATGATATGACAAAGCAATCATAAATATTCCATTTAGATGTGATTTACTTATTTTTAAGTCGAGAAAACAAACTGACTATAAAACTGAATTAACCAAATAGATAACAAGTTACAATCGAGTAACCAGCCTATGGGTCATGGGAACACTTGAAATGATTTTGGAAAACGTAGTTACATAAATCAAAATTGTTTGTAATGGCGCAGGTTCATCCACTCTTTGTGTTCTCCCAAATTCTAATCTCCTAAATTCTTCATGTCCATTTTTTTTTCTCTTAACAAATTTATTTTACTGGATTATACTCCTTAAATAACATCTTCAAACTCTAATCTTTCCGATTACTTCTTTTACTCTTACTGTCTCTACTACTATGGGATTTGAATCGACAACTGCATTTCTGTGCTAATGTGATATGGCAACTCAAACTAATGTACGTACGTAAGAAGTTCTACGTTGTTACTGACTGACTGAAACTATTCTGAGTGAGTTAATCAGTTAATATGTCAGATAATCAAATAAAAACCTAATGGATTATTGGTTTAGAAATCGACAATGAGGGAAGTGTATTGGAGTTATAAGAAAACAGTGAAATGTAGACTAATGAATTAATGATAGTGTTTATACGTACCTCTGTTTAGGCAAGTTTATATACATTTATTCACTAACGATTTAAAATCAGTTCGATATCCTTATCTTGTATCAACTACACGATGTTTTAAAGAGATAACTAAAGAAGCCTAAAGTTTTTTGAACCAGTTGAGGACTATTGAAATACATGATATTAAACTGTATATCAACACTTTTCTGTAAAATTCAGCCCCGCCCTCAAATGTTTATTCATTACATCATAATTATACAATGGTTGATTCAATTTTCTACCAAATAATATTTTAGTTTTTTTAATCTAACTGTTCACTTACACAGTAGTTCAGTCTTAAAGTCATATATAATTAATATATCATCTGTTATCTTTGTTACATTACAAAGGCTTCTTACAGGAATTTATATGAAATAATGAATGTCAAACAGTTGAAATCACTATCTCTTAATTCAGCTAACATGTAACTACCAAATGACTTAATACAAATGACATGATTAGATAAGTTTATTCACTTTATTCAATCATTAAAATTTCTGCTAGAGATTCATAGAAAAATAAACGAGTGTTGACTAAACTACAGAAGAAAATGAATGTCTAACTCCTAATCCCGCAAGGCAGGATTGTGGATGAGCACTGCTAAGGAGGAATTCCATAATAAAATGAAACAGTCGTCTAGTGCTTCCAGGTTTTCCATGGTAATCTAGCTTCAACTAACTCATGATCTCAACTATTGAAATCCCTATAATCTCCAGGAAAACCCCTTCTGATACTAATCTAATCCTTTGTTATTATCTTTGTTATTACGAAAATGAATTTAAATGATATCAACATTTTCATCATTTAAATTAAATTACAAAGATTGACAAATTTAGTTTAAATGTACTAATGTCCTATATCATTCTGTTTGTCATTATGCGATGTACACATAGACATTTAACCTAATTGATACGGAAGAAATTCAGTATTTTGTTGTGAATAATCATGAAATTTAATTACTTCTCTTTTAAATTGGTCCATTAGTAAAACTATCGACTTCGATAAACAATAACATACTATAATAGTTGAAATCATGAGTTAATTGAAGCTAGGTGACCATGGAAAACCTAAAAGCATTGGACGACCGTTTCGTCCTATTATGGGACTTCTCCTCAGCAGTACGCATCCATAATCCCTCTGCTTCGTGAGATTCAAACACAGGACCTATTGGTCTCGTGCGCGAACAATTAACCTCTAGACTACGACAGACCACTGAGGGGTTTCATACTTGGATGAAACGGCCGTCCAGTACTTCCAGGTTTTCCATCATGATCTACCTTTAATTAATTCATAATCTCAACTATCGAAGTAATATATTAGATAAAATATATTCTTTTTACTTACATATATATCTAAATAAAGTTTATATAGTTACATTGAATTTTGATCAAAAAGAATAAATTATTCATTCCATATATATATGTACATAAAGATTTTTGATGAAGATACAAAGAATAATGGAAAAAGAAAATAACTTGAAAGATATTGAAATGTAAACATATTCATTATTATGAATATGTTCAATGGTATACTCTAAAACTAACCAATCAGAATACTTCTTTCTAAATTCTTACTGGAGAAAATACGATTTGAATGAACCAATAAAATATAAGACTATCCAGTGTATTAATTTATCGATTTCGATTAGTGATTTTTTTTTCGATAATTATAATTAAGTAATTATTATGAATTATAATATTGATTTCCGATTTATTCCAAGGTCAAAACAAAAAATAATCAAATTCTAAACGATATCAGTAGAAAGATTCTTTGATTAATTTGACTTTCATTTAACACTTTTTTTTTTCAAATAACTTCAGTTTATCTATAGGCTAAAGATTTCGAGCAAATATTAACACTATTGGATATCGGCAAGTTCAGTGGTTCGAATCTCACAAGGCGGTAGGATTGTGGATGCTCACTGCCAAGGAAGAGTCCCACAATAAGACGAAACAGTCGTCCAGTGCTTCCAGGTTTTCCATAGTGGTTTATCTTCAAATGACTCATCATCTCAACTATTGAAATTACTACAATCTACACGAAACTCTTTTTTGATTATAATCATCATACACTCACTAATGTCTGTCTGTATCCAAGAGTAATTTCTTGGAGTTCTAGTGAGATGCAGTGACAAGTGGAGTTCAACTGAATGTGTTGTGAGATAGTATCTCACTGAAGATAATAGTGGATATGTCGCTCAATTTCCTGGATTGGTTAACTTATGATATCAACCATTGAAATATTTATTTTCAACTATTTTCTTTCCTAAGGTCATCAAGATCAAGATATAATCTTCATTAAAATTAATGCCTTACTATTTATCAGTAAGGGATTGTGGAGATTGTTGAATTTTACTGAAATCACGAGCTGATCAATCTTAGACCATTATTGATAACCTAGAAGCATCGAACCGTCGTTTTGCATGAGATTGAAGATCCTGAGTTAAAATCCTGAATGTGGGCTTATGAATGAACACTTTTGAGGAGTATCATACTATAAAGAAACAATCTCACAGTGCTTCCAGATTTTCATTGGTGGTCTAACATTGATCTTGCTAAATTAATTAATGATGAACAAAGTTCATGATGACTTATGTAATTATTCATATCTTGATTACTTCATTTTAATCTGAAATATACAAATGAAATCTTGATTTAGTTAATTAACTTAAATGTAAATGGTTTCACAGTTCATTTTTTGTTTAATACTCTGATTTCAGTCTATTTTTTGACTTGATAAATGATAAATTTGACTAGCTTGAGTTTTCATTGTTATAAATAACCACATTAGTTTGACTAAACATTCACCTAAGTTGTGAGCAAAAAATACATCAAACAATTAATAAACTGAAATAAAAATTATGTAACAAGCACAAATATTACAAAAATTAACGTGAGACCAGAAAAAAAATGCTCTCAATAGGTTATAAATAACGACATCGAAAATCCTCGACAATATGTAACATATGCGTGAAAACCCACTGCTTATCGTTCTGATCGTGCCGAATATATCTATCATCATGGTTATAATGAGATTGCAGATTACTATAGAGATTTTCTCAGAAACTAGATCCTGAATAATTGTATTGACGGAAGTTACTTAACAATATTTACGTTTTGTTTTTTATACATCATTCTGAAGGAGCATTACTGTTATATCCTAATGAAGATTAAATTACGGGTAACCGCTGAGATCTATTAACAGACTAATATTACATATATACTCCTATTGTATAACTAGATTGTGAATATCTATATTCCTCTTATTATAAGCTTCATTTTGAACTATAGATTATTATTATCATACGATTTACTATTTTTCAGTTATTCCCTTGATATTGTTTTACTTGAATCTTCCCATTGATGTTTAGGACTGCAATTAATCAGTCTCTCATATTGGCATATGTGCATACTGTGCGTATTGCCTCGATATTGCCTTAATTTACAAGCGAGATTCAAGTAAAACAATATCAAGTGAATTAAACTTCACCCCATTGCACAAGCAAATAGCTATCAGGACTCAGTAGCTAAGTGGATAACGCGATGGCGTTTGAAGCGCACGGTACTGGGTTCGAGTCCCGGAGTGAACATCAACTCTGAGATACAGGTACATCCAGCTGACGAGTCCCAAATAGGACGAAACGCGCGTCAAACTGGATTCCACTGCTAGCCACTATCCATCTTTGCTTATAATTTTTCAGTTATGTTCAGTTTGTTAACTACAGTCTCCACGTTCACAGCCAGTTTTTGGCTTGATTTTTTATTAATGTTATTTCTTATTTTATGATGTCATGCGATCTGTATGGCTGATATATAAACCAAGTGTGTCTGGAATAAATGATTCACATAGCGGATGCTGTTATTGATGTTCTGGACTCAATTGGATGGGCTATGTGAGCAAAAGAACCAATAAGGACGCTAGGCTAATCAGACCGGTCGAACGTCATTGGTTTAGCACCGTACAAAAGTGAATAAGTCGTATTTTAATTAGCGAATAAATCATGTGATAACAAGCCGAACTTAAAGTCACAACAACTACGATTGCTAAACAAGTAATCTTTCGAGGTCTACAATTTATGTAGCAAATTAATTGAATGGAAACCGACCTTTTGTGTGTTGAACATTATTCAAAACCTTCTATTTAGATTACGTCAATAATGAATATGGGCATCAATAATAATATAGTAACATTACATATAAACGAAATACACTTTAGAAACAGAATTGATACCAGCATATTAAATAAACAATACCACAATTAGAAATTTGTTTATTTGCTTACACCTAATCGAATTAATTTAACCTGATAATATGTAAATAATATCTTATTGATTTACATTATGATGTAATATTGACTTTAAAAAAATATTGAGGAATAGAGGAGACAAGACTGTTATTCTGATGTAAACTGGTTCAATTTTTAAATAATACAAATAATGCTATATTTTAGATTCCTATTCAGAATGTGAGTATCTCCCAAATGCCCTAGTATGACTGAGAGTGGAGAAAGTCAGCTCACCCTCTTGAGATGCTCTCATATGGCCACATACATCCAACCACTGTCGGGAAAGTTCTACTCATTGCCTTCTCATGGCATTACTATTGTTTACGGAATTGAAAAGACGGAAAGCGAATGTCCGTCAATTTAACCGGCTTGGTAGATATGGAGGATCCAACTAGGGGAGTTGGAAAACCCTCATTCCAAACCAATGGTGTACATGGACTCCAGTATCCTGAAGAAATAGATGGTGTATGAGCCTATTATTAGTCACCGGTTACCATGGTACTGAATTTCCTGACGTTGCTCCACTCTCTTGTGGATTAGACCTTTGGGTCAAAAACCCACTTGGAAAATCACCTGTTTCGGTTTGGGCCCCCTGACAGTATCTCAGCCCTCACACAAATCATATGATTTATGTGGCACATATCTACTTCGTGCCTCCTTGCACTAATGTTTATGTGTTTAAATGAATTAAATAAACCCCCTTGTTTACTGGAGGACTCAGTGTTAAATATTTCAAAAATTCAGCATCCCGTACCATTCTGGATCCTAAATAGTTAACAAGTTATGATAATCATTTTTAAGTAAACTGATTAGTTTCATTCTACCTATGCATTATGTACTACCAAGTTTGATCTTCTACTAATAATAATTCACACACCTTGGTAATAATAACCATAATCTGATCAGAGTTAAAATAACTTAATTTTATGTTCTAATGAATCATTTCATGTTTACCTGAATACGATTCAGAACAATATCGTATTCTCATATTAATGAGTTTGCTTTAATTTCTTAACTAACCATTAAAAGGTAACAGACAATGAAGTACAATTATGTACTATGGTGTTGTAATTAAACCCATTTATTAGAATTATGTGATATATTAGTACGAGACATTTCAAACAAATTAATTACATATAGTGTTTTATTATTATTTCTATATATATATATATATATATATATATATATATATATATATATATATATATTAATGGCCGTCTGGATATATTAGTGTGAAAACCTATGTGAGACTCATTATGCTTGATAATAAATCAATATTAAAAGGGTAGGTATGTTTCACATTGATTTTTTTACTATTGTTGTTTCATCCTATCTTTGAGTTAGTTCAGCTGACTCCTAGTTTTTCACGTAACTTATACTGAGAAGCCGTAATCAGTACAGTTCAGCAGTGTCTGGTGTAAGACGGTTATCCACTTTAGACAGTAGGTGACCATGCAATATTGCAAATTAATTGAATTTAGACTTGTAGACAGTTGGACCCTAACTCGGCAGTTTAGAGGTTAAGCATTCACATGCAAGACATATGGGTTGAGGTTCGATTCCCGGTTGCAGATTCGTGTATGCACATCACTGAGGAGTCACATAATAGAGTAAAACACCCTTCCAGTGCTTCCAGGTTTTAAAGGTTGTCTATCTTAAATCAGTTAGTGATTTAAACTATGAATATATGTATGTCTCAAAGAGTATATGTGTGGTCGATTTGTTCTAGACGCATTGCGCTAATCAATAATATAGTTTTGGTAATCTTCGTCTTATTATTTAAATTTATCAAAGCAATTAACTGTTTGAAAACCCATTTGGTTACTTAAAATTCGCAACTTTTAATTCATTGTGATCTCTAAGTGATAATAGATTGGTCATTACTCTTCGCTGAGATGACTGTGTAAGCTTCCTTTAAAATGTTCTTCTCCCGTTTCTCTCTTTAAGTTTGATTTTATAATTAAGAGTCGGACCTGATGACCGATCGGCAGTGTCCAGACCGACCACAAAAGACGAGTAGATCTTGATCATAGAAATTAGAATGCAACCTAAATATCCATAAGATTGGTTCAATAGCATTATTCACTAGTATACCATAAAAGAAGGACAACTCACTCTGGTTCAAGTCTTTTAACACTTTACGTCTAGTTTAATCTTAACTCTTTATTTTTATTTTTTTGAATGAGTCCAACATTTTTATGAGTATGTATTCCGTATAAG